ATCTGTGTCCTCTCTAGATTTATTAATCATGTCTTGCACCATGAGCACAATCCTTGCTGTTATCTGAGTAATTATTTCTTATTTCATTTTTCCCAGATCCTCTTTTGTTGGCAGTTCAGAGTCCAGGTAGTTGAGTATCAGATTTTTCCATCTCGTTTCCCTTTGGGGTTGCTGTAGTTGATCCAGAAGTCTGTTTTTGAAGCTTGTTTATGTCTTCTCATTTCCATGGGCCAGTGGGGGCGGGGGGTTGCTTCTGGTGCCTGGGTGGCTCAGCTTCTCTGCTGTAGGAGCCTGGGATGGCGGTGGGGGAGCTTCCTTCCGGGTGCTGGGACCAGCTCACCTTCTCTGCCCTAGGAGCCTGGGATGGCAGCCAATACAAAATGTTTTTACATTTAAATTTATTCCCATATAGCAATAACATTCTCATCTCTGGACTATTACTTGCATTATGGGTGCCAAGAAACCATTACATTGTCTAGAATATAACCTCTATTATGCCTTAAAAAAGTGCATGTGTGAAATGTTGGTTTTGATGTAAACCTTATAATTTAAAATTTAACATTTAGATTAAGTTGGTTACCATTTTCTATATCACCTAAATAGAGTATATTGAACCAGTATAGAAAGTTAAATTAATGTTATAAATGAAGATTCACAGTTCACCTTTTCAGGCTTGTAGTAAGTGTTTCACATTTTATGCCTTTAGCTTTACAGATGAATTCAAATTAAATGTTCCTACTGCAGCATTATATTAATTAGGCAGTTTTCCAAACATGAACATCATACCAATCTAGTTGTGATGTTTTGAGCGTTTATAACTTAAAACCATTATAACATTATGGAATCCATAGTTCAGGGTTGTAGAGAAAGGCTTCTAAGAAATTTTTTTGTTGCTGCATTAATACTATTTATGTAAAGAACAAAAACTCCCATCTTACCCAAAGTTTATGTAAATACTGCTAGCTGTTAAAAGTAAATTTTTCATACCTAAGTTTTATAATCAATAATGTAGATGTGTTAAATATTAACATTTAGTTTTGAGTAGGAAAAGATAAATCATTACTGTAAGTTAATAAATTTAGATGGCAAGAACATATAGAATATATTCAGTGACTGAATTTATATTTTTTATGAATATAATTACTTTCTATTATTCCAATTGCCATAGCAGTATGTTGAGACACTGGCAATTTTCAGAAACCTGAAAGATCATTGGGTTGTATTACTTTTTCTTTAGGTGTGACATTCAAGTTCATAATGATTCTGCTTATAAGCCAACAATCTCAAATTAGTTCATATACGGATCAAACTGTTGGTCCTATTATAACTTTAAATGAGGTAGAGCTTAGGGCTGGCTACATTTAGCAAAATGTACAATTAAAAAAAAACATTACTTCACCGCTATCTTAAAAATTCATGTTATTAAAGAGTTTGTTGTTTTCTAAGCTGCTAATTTAATGAAATGGTTAACATATATACCAGAGATTGGAAACTCCTAAGGGTGTCTTTTTAAAAAAGTTTTTGAGACAGGGTCTCGCTATGTAATTTAAATTGACCTTGAACTCACTATGTAGCCCAGGATGGCCTCAAACTCATGGCAATCCTCCTGCCTCAGCCTCCCGAGTGCTGGGATTACAGGTATGTGCCACTATGCCCGGCCCTTAGGGTGTTGCACCTTATATACAGCAAACGCTTTCAAATGTTAGCTGACTGGATTGGTGATACCGGTTTTTCCCTTTTGCTGTTCCGAGTCACGTTGGTTTATTTTGAAGATAATATTTCAATACTTTAATTGTAGAAGAAATTATACAATTTTCTCTATACAGAGAATAATAACCAAATTTACCAATTAAACTGTTTCAGGTTGAAAGGTGAGTATAGTAACTGTGCTTCAGTTGCCATGCAGTACGTACAGAAACAAACCACTTCAACTTCTGAGCATTCAGTTTGAAACACTTGTTTGATGATTATTCAGTTAAACACTTGGATACAAGCTCTTGCCAGAAGGTCAGATCTCTGTCATTTACCTTGGAATGTTTGTGCAGACATTCTGCTCCTTTTGTTAACTCTCCACACAGCACAGGCTTGGATCTCCAGTGCAGTGATAGATAAGGCCAACACAGAAGGCTTTGCTTTAGAAAATACAGTCCTGCAGTGACATGCCTTAAACTGAGCTCCTAGTCTTTCAAAATTTAGGCTGTTTTTCCTTTCAAATGGCAAGCTCTCTTGAATGAGTGAATAAAAGAGTTGTAGAAATTGAAAGGCAGTGGTAGCTTTGACCTTCCAACACACCTTCTCCAGTACAATCTTTTCCATTTGCATCAAGTCTGAAACTGATCCGATACTGACTTATTCAGATCAAGTCAGTTGCCAATGGGACATTTGTTTCCTTTTCTACTGATCTTACAGCCAAATAAAAAGCACCTCAGTCCAACACACCCAAGGTCCTTTGAGCTATACCTTCATTTTAGACAAGAATCTCTCCAGTAAATTCACAGCTAGAGAAAATGTCTCTGTATCAAAGCCAAAGAACTGAGTTAGACTAAGATCTTTCACTTCAGAGTCCCTCAGTCTTGCAGTCATTCTAAGGCCATTGTCATGTGCAGATTCAATTAGTCTCCAGGCACAGACCTTTGGCTGACATCTAGCCTCCTGTTCCCACAGGGTATTCAGCTGGTGTAGCAGTTTCTGGGACTTAGTTGTTAGTACTTCTGTCATCTTGGTAGAGCCTGCTTCCTTGAGGAGATCACCGTCCCTGGGCCTGCTCTCACCTCCCCCCATGATACCGGATACGAGAGCCCTAGGAGGCAAGGACACTCAGGACACTTGAGGGGAGGAGTGGAGAGGCCCAGGGAGGGAGAACTGTCCTGGGTGGAGGTCTCCACAGTGCCTCTGAGACTACACCGCCCTACACCAGTTGGACTGCAGGGAAGGCCTCAACTTTCCCTCTTTAATCTGCATTTCATGTCTCAAGTAGGTCAGGTAGCCCAGGAGAATGAGGGTGTTTTGGGCACTGTTTCCACAGTCCATGTGTTTATCCCTGCTCCAATACCATACATACTGCAGTGGTGGCGAACCTGTGGCATGCGTGCCGCACCAGGCAGTTTGTATCATGGAAAGCTCTAGAAGGTTCGCCATCACTGCTGTACTGTCTTTATAATGGGTGTGGATATCTGGTAGGGCGTGTCCCCCACTTTTGTTCTTTTCTTCATTCTTGACTTTTTCTGTTCCATATAAATTTCACAATCCAGTTGATAGGTTGTAGTTTAATGTGGGAATAATTACATCTTTGTGATATTAAGTCTTTTCTATGAATATAAAGTAACTGTCTCTATTTGTAGATGTCTTAAGTGTCTTTCAATAAAATTACACAATTTTTTAACCAGTTGCAGTCTTACAACTCTTTTCTAGCTGCTGCTAGTAAAGAGAGGTACAGTGGATATTTCTCTATTGATAACCTTATATTTTAGATACTATTTTCAACACAGGGTGTATAATGGGGCCTGTAAGCAGAACTTGTTTAAAATCCTAGCAAAAGCATAATATCTAGTTGCCTGAGTAAGTGTACTGTGTTGCATGTAAATGTTTACCATTTTATTTTTGAGATGTATCTCCCTGATAGTTTTATATATGGAAGACTGAGAGCATGCTTACATAAGAGTTAGGAGACTGAGTGCTGTATTTAAATCTTTATAAATATCAAATTAGGTAACACTGGGCACGTCCTCAGGATGCTGTGGTCTGTCTTTCCTAACTCATGGAACTTAATATAAGGATAGAGTAAGATAATAAGAAAAGTGGTATTATATAATTATATAAATGAAATGTAAGAACAGGAGAATGTAAGAACTTTTTCTTCTAAAAGTTAATGCATCACTTATTTGTAAATCAAATCAGGAATATAAGACAAAATTAATAACCACCAAAAACATTATTATATCTTGCCTTCACTTGTGGCAGACATTATAATAAGTTTTCAGATGAGTTAGTTGTACTGGTTATTCCTGGCATCTTATATTCATTTTTTTGAAGCAAAACATTTCTTGGTACATTTTAGATATACATGATAACATTCACCATCAGGAATTTGTACCTGTACATGATATGTCTTGCTTCTTTTTTTCCCATTTCCTCTCCCTCCCTTTGACCCCTCTTCTCCTTATTTACAAAAGCTTTGTTTCCATTTTTTCCTTCTATTCTCTTTTTTCTTATCCATTCTCCCCCCTTCCTTGTTCTCCTCATTGGAACATTTTCTTCCCATTTCTCAATGTCTATTATATTCGTTTTTGCAGTGGATGCACACATGCACACACACATGGCTTTTGAAGTTAGTGTTTCCCAGGGACCTGCTTTTATGAGATTTCTTAATAAATGGATTCAGAAAATGAGAGTGTAAACTCATATATAAGGCAAGCAACTGGACAGATTTGACAGGATTCATCCGTCTACTCAAGAAATATTTGTCCAGTGCCCGTGCACCTAGGAGGAGGGTTCAGTGGTGGACAGAGAAGCGCTGTCCATGGGCTTGAGGACATGCCCGGGAAGGGGGGTGTGGAAGATCACAAGTGCAGTTTCGGTTTAGTCAGAGCTGTAAGAGAACGGGTAGGGAACTGCACGAGTGTGACCTGTTGGGGAGGACCGAGCCCCAGGGTGAGCCTGAAGTCTCAAGGCTGAGTGGAGTCAGCGCAGCGTCTCCTCCCCTCCCCGTCACTTTGGCCCCACCCCCTGCCTGCTGAAGCTGGCTCCTGAAGCCCCTTTGTTAGGCTGTCAGCTCGAGGGTGTGACCTCTAGAGAGCAGCCCAGGACCTCGTCCAGAGTCGGTGTGGAAGAGGAGCTGTTCGTGCTGTGTCTGCTCCTCTCCCCCTCTGACCTGGCCGGGCCCTTTGGAGGAGCTCTGAGCTGTTCATCAAGCACTGAAAGTGGGGTATCAGGGGCAAACAGAAAACGGTCCAAGAACAACCTGCAGAGGAGGAACCGCCCAGCCTGCCTTTCTCAGCTGGCAGCGGGCAGCTGTGAAGCAGCCAGGAGCTAAACGCTTCAGGTGAGGGCTGTGCTCGGTCTTTGGGACTTACGTCCTGTCAGGACGCTGCCCTCTGCCAGTTTGTCCCGAATGCCTATTTGTGAGCCCTCACATGGAGACTCTTACCAGCCCAAGCCAGTCAGTGCAGGGGTGTTCCCGGGGAGTCCTGACCAGAGGGCAGGGCGGGCTCTGTGGTGTGGTCCCAGTGGCTTCAAAACATGAGGCATGAGAGGAGAGGGCTTGAGACTGCTCCCATTGGCCCTGGGAGGGAGCGCTGTGAGCCTCTGGCTCCTGGAGTGACCGTAGATGTGAGCAGGAGGGAGCAGAGCCTCCTTTCCTCCGGGACTAGCGAGCAGCTGGAGGGTGAGATGACGAGGCGCAGCCCCTGTCTCTTCACTCTCCTGTTCGTTTGTTCCTTCCTTCCTTCATTCCTTGGTTCGTTCGTTCATTCAGCAGAAGGCATGGAAGGCCTAGTGTGTATCTTCTGCTGTTTTTCATGAAAATAGCAAGTAAGATAAGGCCTGTGCTCAAGGACGGTAAGTTGGCGGTACCAGAATAGTTTCAAGTTTTTGTGTTCTGAACCTGGTGCGGGGGGAACAAAACAGAGAGCGCCCTGATTCAGCACAGGGTGTCAGAGACGTCTTCTCACTTATGCTTCAAGTTAAGTAGGAGTTAGCACCATGAAGAAGGCCTCGGAAGTCCAGGGGCAGCATTGAGCCTGAGAGGAACAGCACAACACCAGTGCCGCTGGACTGCGGGGCACTGCCCAGAATAATGGAGGCTGAGGTGGGGAGGCAGAAGAGAATCACAGTCACGTTCAGTTTCCGGCCTGGGCAAGGAGGCGCCTGTAGTCTTGGGATACGTGACTGTTTATCACATGTCCTGTGCAGCGTGCTCAGTCCTCTGCCCAGCAATCTAAAAACAAAGGTGAATGTTTCATTCTGTGTTCTCTAGGGGGGAAGCCAACTACCTTAAGAATTTTGGAGAAGGCTTGGAAGTGAGTGTAAGGCCTATTTTAAATGTGCGCACACACACACACACACACACACACACACGCTTTGACCACAACAATGGTGAACCTTTTATAGCTTCCAGTGATACAGCCTGCTGTGGCCTGTGTGCCATAGGTTTGTTGCCCCTGGACTAGAAGTTAGTTTCCCAGGTAGTCTGATGTCTGGTGCAGTGCAGCACAGCAAGCTGGATGGGCTCAAATCTGCCTCCTGACTGAGTGGTCTGGGAAGTTACTTTTCTCCCTACCTTACTGTGCTCACCTGAGAACTGGGCATGATGATGTAAGGCATAGAAGGGTTTGTTCCCAGGGCAGGTTATAAGACTTTGTCACTTACAGAACCAGCATGAACCTTCTGTTTTTAGAAATCAGATACAATTAAATTTCCGCTTGAGAGATGTGAGATTAGAGATGCATGTGGAGGCTCTGAGTGGGGAGGTCCAGACAGTTCGAAAGTGGTCGAGTACCAGGCCTCTGAACCAGAGCCATTTTCCTGGAGCTGGTAAGCGGGTACAGAGATTACTGAAAACCTGGTAAGCCGTCATTCTTAGCCATGCCCCTAGCCCACAGCAGATAACTCAAAATTAGAAGTGTTGTGCTCTGAATTACTGTGTACATACGAACACTCATTTCTAAAGAAGACAGTACTGTGTGCAAACCATTTTAATATCAGCCTAGTGTTTAGGATTTCAAAGCCTTAACTCGAAAGCCAAACAGAAATTAGCGCAGCTATCTGAATTGATGCACTGGCAGAACCGAGCTCTGGCTAATCACAAATTGCTCATTTACATGTGCGCTTGACAGACATTGACTGTCCTTTAAAGAGATGATGATTCTCCATTAGGATCCAGGAGTTTTTCAACCATACCAAATATGTTGTGTTATTTTATTCTGTTTACTTATTGTGTTAGTCTCATATTTAAAATTAGCATCTTGGCGTGGGCGTGGCCTTCCAGATTGATGGGTGGCGGCCGCTGGGCATGTGAGGGAGCCCTTGCTTGTCTGAGTCACTCTCCTCTAGGCTCCACCAGGTGGTTGGCATGGCCCGTGGTAATCAAGGAGAACTTACCCGACAGAAGAATGTGAAGACAACCCAAGAAATTAGCAAGGGAAAAAGAAAAGAGGATAGCATGACTCCTTCTCAAAGACAGCAGAGGGACTCTGAGATCATGCAACAAAAGCAGAAAGCAGCTATTGAGAAGAAGTCTATGCAAACAGGGGAAAAATAATGACTGCTCTGGGGGGTGTGGGTGCTGCTGCCAACTGGTGCATCACAAGCTCCAAGATCAGGATTCCTTAGAATGAACAAGCATTACATGCTTTATAACTCATTCTCATAAAACCGTTTACTGCAAACTTTGTTTTTCGGCCTTAGTGTGATGTTTTAGAACCATTCTTCAAACAATAAAACATCATGCATATAACACTGGTGAATATTATTTTTATCAGCAAGTAAATATTTCTGTAATTAGATAGGTAGTGTGATCAGAGAGTGGGATCTGTTATGTAGAATCCAGACTCTAGTCTAGAACTTTGTCATCAGTTTTGTTAAAGTAGATCTTTAAAGTAGATTTTATCACACAGGGCCAGTGCTGTAGCTCAGTGGTAGTTGGTTGCCTGGCATGTATAAGGCCATGGAACGAACTCCAGCACCACCAAAAAAAAAAAATGTAATAAAATTTAAGATCCCTTTGTGTAATTTTGCTTTGTAGTCACCTGGCTTGTTTGAAGAATTTCTAGTAGATAGTACAAATCATCTGGAATACCAACTAAATGGATATGAATTAAATGAGACAATCAGTAAAAGTTCTTTTGAGCCTGGGATTTAGCTCATTGGTTCCGCCGCCTGCCTCGCAAAAGTGCAAGGTCCCGAGTTTGATCCCCAGTACCAAAAAAAAAAGTTCTCTTGATGATTTTAAATTTGTTTAGAATGAGAATCATTTTAGTCTGTTCTGAGTCTCTTAAAAAATTGGCGACTTTGGAGCCAGGCATGGTGGCACACAGCTGTAATCCCAGCATTAGGGAGACTGAGGCAGGAGGATTGCTACAAGTTCAAAGGCAGCCTTGGCTACATAGTTAAAGGCCAGCCTGAATTGCAGACCAAGACCCTGTCTCAAAAAAAATAAACAAAAAATTGATGACTTTGGGCTGGTTGTTAGGTCAGTAGAAGAGCATTTGCCTGGCACACATGACACTCTTGAGTATGATCCTTAGCATGGGAAAAAAGAAAATTGTGATTTGATGGTGGCTATTAATTAATTACAAGTTAGCACATTAACCTGATAAAAGTAAGGCATGAGATACTATTCTGAAGTGAACATGGATACCTATGTCAAAAAGAATCAAAATGCCATTGAGTCAGTATTTTTCAAATACTTGGTTTGTCACATAATCCAATTCACATTTTTACTGATCACCTAACACGAGCCACTAGCTAAATAAACAGATCTTCAAGTTCCCTTAAAAAAATTTAAAAAATAAAATAAAATTAGCATCTTATTACAGCTTAGTTTTCAGTATAGATTATTCACAGCTAAAATGAAGACTTCTGCTGTATAGAAATAAAAAGCCAGTTTGGGTTTAGTGATTTTTAGGCATGGCCTGTTTTTACCCTGAAATGCTGTAGGATGTGCTGATTTAGTGTTCATAAATCTGGCAGGTGTTAACAGTGAGTCAGGTTCAGATAGTGTATTTGAACATCCCAACAAAAGGCACTGGCTCCTCCACTGTCGGGCTCACTGACACCGACTAGTCCCTTCGTCCCTAAGACTGCTCTTGGACGTAGTCATGATGGACTATGATTTTTTTTCCAAATGAAACTTTTGCTGATAATAAAAGAGAAGTTATAATTTTTAAAAAGGGAAGGAGTAAAAAATAGAATTGAGCCATATGTCCTTGCTCCCAGAGGTCCCTTTCCATGGGGCACGTTAGCGTACTCACACACAGACACCGTATGTGCTGCTCTGCACAGTAGGCAGTGCTGTAACCTGTTTCTTTCTGCACTTAGCTGTGCATTGGAGATAGCTTTCCTTGTTCTTACTTCATCTTTTTCAACAGTCATTGAATGGATACATGATGGTTAACTTAAATAAATCCTCTTACAGTAGTGGATATTTAAATTACCTCTCAGTCTTCACAGTTACACACGCAGTTGCAAAGATTATAGTTGTGTGTACATTTTTGTGTATTAATTTCATTGTTTCTCCTGGCTAATGACTTTTAAAAATCAGTGTTAGTGAACTACTAAGGGCTTCTGGCAAATTGCCCAGCTGTCCTCCTTAAAGCTTCTGAACGTCTAGACCCCACAGACTGTTTCTGAGCATCTGTTTGCTTACACCTGGGCTGACATTAAGTAGTGGGAGACAGTTTTACAAATCTTTATCAGTCTGATTAGGAAATAACATCTCCCCATTTAATTGTGAGGAAAGAACCTTTTTTTACTTGTATTCATTCATTACAAGTGATGTTGTAATATACATATACATTATACACACATATGTAATTTACATTTCTTGGAATTGGTGGTTTGTTTCTTTTATCCATTTTTTATTCAGGGGCTTATTATCTTTATTCTCTTCTAGCTGTGTTTAAGTTTTTAACCCCTTATGCACAAATGCTACATTTCCCCCCAATTTTTTCATTATCACTGAGGATTGAAAATGATACCCAGAAGAAGGCAGAGGGGCAAGACAACATGGACAAATTGGAGACATGCAGACCCTGTCTAGAGCTTTGTGTTTTGGCTGAAACAATGTGTTTCAGAATTTGAAGGGTCAGTGTGTGCAGTTGGAAGACAGCCAGCAATCGTAGAAACATTAGGAGCTGGGAGATGTTGAACTTGCTGTCCCTTTGCAGTGATGGGGAGCTAGGTAGGCCTGGGCCCCTCAGACTAGGCAGTCACCCCTGAGCCACCACGGTTCATCTCCCCTCAGACTGAGGTCCTTGCTGCTCTATCCTCCTGTTTACCCATCTGGCCTCTGGGAGCTTTGGGGGTGGCTATTACGACTTTAGCATGGAAATTAAGAATATTTAAGAATATGTAATTTAAATAGCGTCCTTTTCTCTCTTCTTCCTTCAACCTTATTGATGAGGAAATTGGACCTTAGAGATTAACTTGCTGGAGTTCACTTAAATTTAAGAATCATAAAATACCATCTATAAAACTAAGTTATAGATTCCTCTGTCTCCAGAACTTTTCTGTTAGACAGTCCAGAAATAATTTTTGAACATGTAAATGTTGTGAGTAGTGAGTGGTAGAGAAGAATTTCACTATGGCAGCCAATTAACAATTTTGTGCATATGCTGACTTTTAAGATGATAATCTTCCTTGTCCTCAGGAAGATTGTATTCCAAGAATATCTTGCCCCACTCGTGCATCAGAATAGTTTAGTTAGCATGAGAGGAAGTGGGACCCTAGATATATCTGCCTAGAATGGTAGCCATATACACAGTGACTGCTGAACTTGCAGCATGGCTGGTCCAAGTTGAGATGTGTGGTAAGTGTAAATTACAGACAATTCCAAAGATGTAAGAAGAAAAACGTGTGCACTCTAATTTTTATTGCATACTGTTGAAATAATAATTTGGATATATTGAGTTAGACTACATTAAAACTAAATATACTTGTTTCTTCTTTTCAAAACGTGTCTAGAAAATCTTAAATGCATATGTACTCCGTATTAGTGGCTTCCAGTACATGTCTCTGGGTGGGAGGAGAGAGAGAAGGTGGGCGGGGGAAGACAACTGCCCTGGGCATAGAGTAGCGCTTTATTGGAGATAACTGTCTTTAACTGTGAGAGAAGTGATTTTTGCCCATACTTCCTCAGATAGTAAATAAGAAAATTGGGTCTAGAAATGAATTCTTTTAATTCTCCACTAACCTTCCTCTTTAAGAAAAAAGAAAACAAAAACTTGAGTTCTGTTTATCTGTGCTTCAGAGATGTTGCCCTAAAACTTTTGTTACTTTTTTTAAGCTTTTATTTGATGTTACAGAGAAATGTTTTATCTCTCCCCACTACTTATTTTAAACCTAAAATTGACAAAAGTTTAGCCAGAATACAGTGTGGAATGTAACCTTCCCTAGTTCACTTGTTATTTAAAAGAAACTATAAGATTTTGTAGAATGCTTTCAGATAGAGTTCCCGCAAGATTTGACCCAGCAGAGTGAGCCAGAAGAATTTACTAGCTCTAAGGTCTAATATTGATCAGTCTTAGAAATCTTTGTCAATGCTTCAGAGATTTGGCAAAATCAGTGTTTTTAAAGAAGAGTCCTAGAATATCATAGATACAGCTAATCAACAAAAGAGAACAGAAAATGAACTCATTGTTTTTCCACTTAAGAAAACTGGAAGATGAAAATAATGGTGATATAGTGATTAGTGCTTTCTTCCAAGAGACATAGTGCAGTTCTGTTTGGACTTTTCCCTTCCCGTGCCCCTGTTCTTCAGTCCTACACACTATGACTCGGTACCTGCAACTTTTACTCTTGGATTCATAAATACATTTGCGAACCTACATAGTTCCAGGCATTTTGATAGCTGTGTGTAAGGGAGAACGATGTAGAAACATACATACAGATAAAGTAGGGGTAAAAAATAGTATTTTTGAAAAGAAGGCTAGATAAAGGACTGGGACAGTTAAGAGGAAAAACTCTTTAACTGTCAAAAAGGTGACAAAGCTCAACAGGACCTTAGGGAGGATCTGGGTAGATAGAGCTTGGGTGAGAGGCAAGAAATGGAGAAAAACAAGGGATGGTTGGCTATCAGCAGCAGAGTGAGAAAGATCTGACCCCGGCGTCACAGGCCTTATGTTCCCTAAGTACCTCAGACATTGCTGGTAGTCCTCTGTATGGGGTATTTCTTTTTTTTTTTTTGGTACTGGGGATCGAACTCTGGACCTTGCGCTTGCAAGGCAGGCGCCAGAACCACTGAGCTAAATCGCCAGCCCTGTATGGGGTATTTCAATACAGAAACAGCATCTTCAGCACTGTCCTTTCATAATGATTCATTGGTAATCTATAGGCTTGGTTGAAACAGTACCAGATTAGATGCAGTACCCTGCAGGGAAACCATTATATTGGTGAAGGAAATTATTCACGGAGAAACTGAACTTGACACTCCTGTCTTCAAGAATAGAACTGACTTTAATTTAGAAGCAAAACCAGGAGTGAAATATCATTTCTGAAAATCTGTAATAACATGAACTCACACTTACTGAGCGCCTGCTCTGTGCTTGCGTGTGTTGAGAGTTTCGTCATCTACCTTCTCAATTCCTGTATCATCTATGAGTGAGGACATCGAGGCCCAGCAGGGTGGGTCCCTTGCCTCAGTCATGTAGTTGGTGAGCGGCAGAGCCAGAAGCCACCCTCAGTCATCAGTCTGATCCATGCTACATATGGCTTTGCAGAAGGATTCACCGTGGGAATCTTTCAAACAAACTCCCAGCAATGTACTTGATTTGAAAAATTTATTTTGAACAGAAAGTCTTTGAGGTTGCAGCTTTGGTATGAAGCTAAGTGAACAAGCTAAGCTATATTTTATAAAATATTCATGCTTAAAACAAAGTATTATTTCTGGTTTCCTCACACATCAGAAATATACATGAGTGGAAAAAGGGAAGCAGTGAATTTAAATATGAGTGAAGGATAGGATAATCTTTAAACTTCACTCATTCATTTTTTGTAACTTGTGCTTCTGAACATGGAACTGATGATGTTTTTGTTTGACAGGATATTCTGAAGTTGCTAGTCATTCTTAGAGCAGCCTGAATATGTTGAGA